TATACAGCAGCAACTGCTGAGTGATTCTAGCTATGTTTTAGTTTCTCCTTTATCTTTCCACCAAAGATGGCTGGCGTAGATAGCAATTGTGGCTGCAGGAAAGACTTTCCCTCTCCTTTCCCCCTGGAGAAGCCCCTGTGAGGTGGCACATTTAGATCCCTAATTTCGGAAGAAGCAAAAAACAAGAAGCAAAGAGGCATTGACACACCCTCTTTGATTCTACAAGAGTGCAAAAACTTGTCTACACTAGCAGTTGCATGCTTATATTGTCAGGGCCGTGCTGAAGCAGATTTAACAAACTGCTTGTGCCGACCACGTCTGGGAATCGTTTATGAAGTGAACCTCTGGTGGCAGACGTTCAAAATGGCAGAGGCAAGAAAGGAAAGAGGGAGTCCAAGATATTATGCTGCCTAAGGACAGGATTCCGCCCCACCCATTCCACACACAGAAGCCAACCAGACTTGCAGCTGATTCCTGCTTTAATGCTGGCAACAGGACAGCCACGTCTGAGGGCAGCAGGCCAGCTAAAAGGCCACATAGCATGTACAGCTGATCAGAATACCAGGAGGAAAGGCCAGAGAAGCTGTCAGTCATTGCTGTCCCTCAACAAACCCACCCCCAGCAACTACCATCTCAGGTAGCTGTTTCACTCTGCCTACTGTTGTCAGGCTCAGGAAATCTGCTCCCCCCCCCATCCTCCGGCAGTAGATAAGCAGGACAAAGGAAAAGAAGTCTTCTTACCAGTTGGAAACTTTAGTGATCACAGCGAGAGAACAAAGAACCCATTTCCTAGGAATGGTGGTACTCCCAATTAAGGGCACCACCGACTTCCTCCCTAGTCACCCATGTCAGTACTGCGTCTTGTACCCTGAGCTCGTGACCACTGTGCTTTTTGTGTTGCCATCTTATCAGCTCTTCTTGACCTTGGGCTGAGCAGATGAATGCTTTCCAGAGACAGTGAATCTGTTAACCCTCTCTCTCCCAGTTCTTCTCCTCCTAGCTGTTCCCCATCCAGTATTTCCCAGCTTCTGCCTTCTGAACTATGTCCCACTGTTTGGGACCACTGTCCCAAATCTATACTGTCTTTCTGTGCTCCTGGGAAGATTCAGGATCCAGATCAGGAGCAGGGGGAGGGGGAGGCTCCCACCATTCCTCCTCAGCACGGTCCCTGACAACTTGTAGGACTGGTTTATAAGTTACCAAATCCAGGGAAATATACATCAAATACATTCATTGTACTGGGTCTCCCTTACACAGCTTAAAGACAACTTTGATTAGGAACAAAAAGTTCCAACAAAAGAAGAGTGGCAGATGAAGATGATAGACTTTGCGGGATTGGTGAAGCTGACAGGGAAAATCCAAAACCAGCACGATCGAGCATTCCAAAAAGACTGGAGCAAATTTAACCAATAGTTGAAGGACCACACTTGTATCAAATGAGTGAAACGTATCAAATGAGTGAAACGTAAATTGGAAAATGTATAAATGATATGGAGGTTAACTCTGAAAACCATGAGGTGGGAGGGAGGGGAGTCAATAAGCTCTTAAGAGCCAAAGAAGTAAAGTGAACAATGATGTGATTAAATATAATAAAATGGAAAATTAATAAAAAGTACTAAAAAATAAAGACAACTGTGATTAAATGCCATACAAATTGTTAAAATAATAATAATAAATTAAATAAAAAGGTGCACAGAAGACAATTCATTGGCCAGTGCATTCTGGATATGCAGGGGAGGCTCTGATTCCTATTTTCAGAGAGATCCCAAAGCTGACCATTGGCTCAATCCAACCTTTGGCAGCCTGGTGCCCTCCAGATATTTTGAACTATAACTCCCATCAGTCCCAGGCAGCACTTGGTTGGCAAAGGCTGCCTTAATCTCTTTTTGTGGTGTCTCAGTTTGCCTGGCTCAAAGTCAGCTGGCTTGTTTGTGGAGCAAAGCAGAGGTGAATTTAGGGGAGCGCAACCGGTTCAGCCTTACTGGGCGCAGAGCCTTGGGGGTGCCGTAACTATGATTTAGAATGGCGGAGAGGCACCAGAGGTGGAGGTGGAGGGGCACCAGATTTTGGCATCACACAGGGCACCGCTGAAATTTGATACCCCAAGATCCAGCACCGAGCATAGTTATGAAGTATGAACAGCAACTGCGAAAAAGGCTTAATCTATACTTAGAGCTCACCAGGACAAGAAAGGCAGGGACCTGTGTTACAGAATCCATTTTTAGATAAGTCTTGGGGAGTCAGGGAACTGGGGAGCACTTCCACCTAGAAAACTAGATGAGCAAAAAAAAAAAAAAATGTAGGAGAGCAATTTCGTGGAGTTTCTATTAGTGGTCAAGAGCATGATTTGTGGGCAATCTCTCAGGGATGCTTTCTAGGTAATATTTCCTGCCCCAAGACAGGTTTGTTGGTGTCCCCTTTAAAAATATAGATTTCTTCCAGCTTAGGTAACGTCTATGGCTGTGGGTTTGTATTGCAGGATTTCCTAATTGCATTTGTGTGGTTTTGGTTTGCAGTGTTGATACTGTATTTGCCTTTCTTCATTGATTCCTTCCCCTCTCTCCTATCTTTTATTGCTAGTCCCTCTCTCCCTGCCTCCCAGCCTGTAGCTGCCAAAGTGAATACTGGGCTGTCCCTTGAGAGACATTTGAGGAGCTGCTTGCCTGCCTGTCACCTTCCTGAACAGATCTTGTTAATGACTCCCACAAGCTGTGCAACTTCATTAATCATTTTGGGGTGTGTGTGCGTGATTAAGTGAGGAGGGAGAGAGGATTCATACCCAGCGGAAAAGAAGGCCATTACATCGTATTTGTAACGGGGAAAGTGGGCACAGACAGTGCAGTTAAAGGCCTGGAAGGATCCCAGGACAAAATCGGCACAAATGTTCTTATCTCATGACTAGTGGTGAAAAAGCTAGTTTCCTCCCAAAGGTCAGTCAACATTCTGTAGCCAATCGGCACACGCAGACTACGTTGGGCTGCTTTGTATTCCCCAAGTTTGCCCACTTAGGGGCTTTCTCCATGTAACAGGTGGGGAGTATACAGTGGTACCTTGGGTTACAGACACTCCAGGTTACAGACGCTTCAGGTTACAGACTCCGCTAACCCAAAAATAGTACCTTGGTTAAGAACTTTGCTTCAGGATGAGAACAGAAATTGTGCTCTGGCGGTGTGGCGGCAGCGGGAGGCCCCATTAGCTAAAGTGGTACCTCAGGTTAAGAACAATTTCAGGTTAAGAACGAATTAAGTTCTTAACCCGAGGTACCACTGTATCCTGGCTCAAAGGGGGATCCTTCTTGGATACCTTAGGAAGAAGATGCTGATTGCAAGGTGATGAAAAAGAAATGATTCATAATTTGCTGAAACATGAAGATTTGTTCCTGGCATGTATAATTCATAAGCACTTCATAATTCTTCTTCTTTTTTCTTTCAAAGGAAAGCTATTTTGAGAAATGCCATTTTAACGCAGTCACTGTTGTTTCCAATTTACTGCATAACTCACTGCTTCCAATGCTTGTTCTTAAGAGCTTTAACCTTTTTAAAAATAATAATAATAATAATTGAGTACTGCCTCATATATTCATCTGGAGAGATGTTTAAAAATATACTGCAGAAACTAAGGTTCCCCCCGCCCCACCAGTCCTCAATGATTCTGCCCCCATCTCTTTCTTTCTTCCTGACTGAAGTTAAGCTCTAGGGCCTGTGAAGCAGGCAAATCCTTTGATTGCAATGGTATTCTCCTTAGACCTAGTTAATTTCAGCACCGGCAGACAAATGAGTGAATGGACAAATTGTTTTTGGAAGCATCGTATGATGTTGAAGGCTGCAGCTATTAATTATGAACTGATAATAAATGGTTTATATTTGCATTTGATGTGGAAACCAGCAGTTTCACTGCAAAATCAGTGAATGCAAAATCTGTTTATGTGGGATTGTAGGAATGAGTTCATTCCTTATGAAGAAAAATACACTAATTCTGGAAATCAGTTGTGAACTAAACCCAAGCCCATCCTAGCAGGTGAAAGAGAGTTGAAGAATTGAAACCACTATTAACAGAGGCAGAGGGAATAGTCAGTACTCTGTTGGCCTCAAGAAACCATGTTTGGATGCAGACTTCAAGAAACCATCTTTGGAGAGACTTCATCAGGCAAGGCCTTCTTCCATCTGCCTTGTCCCACCCTCCAGTCCTTGCTTCTCAATTTGTATTGTATTATTTTATGCTCTGTGGCTTGCCATTGTTTTATTGATTGTAGTTTAGAAATTATTTATTGTAATTAAGAGTGGATGTCTGTTTAATTTTAATATGCTGATATTAGAATAGTATAGAATAGTATATTATTCTATGCTATTCTAATGATTGTTGAATGTTATTTGATGTAGTTGCTTATTTTAAAGTTATGTTTTATTATCACATTTTTGTATTGCATTAGATTGTTATAAGGTGTACATTCATTGTTTATTCAGCTTGTAAACCGCCTTGGGTATTGTAAGATAGAAAGACGGTATACAAATTAAAAGTGATGATGATGATGATACAAAGTGTTCAAAGTGGCTGACAAATATAAAATCGAACATAAAAACAATGGCAGAACAACCACTAAAAACATTATAAACAAAAACCAGCAGTGACAAACAATAAAGAGCTGTACTCGCCATCAGTACTTTTAGTAGCAACAGAATCAAACGTTTGCTTAAAAAGGAGTTTTCCATTCCCGATGGGAAACAATTAAAAAGAAAGAAAACCTAACCTTTGGGGGCAGGGAGTCCCAGAGCTACCACCTATATATCAAATATAAACTTTAAAACTACAAAATGCATGTTCCGTATTCTACTGCAAGTCAAATGCCAAAGCCAGGTGTAGCCAATGACTTGTGCATATTAGGCAGAAAACGATGAGATAACAACGTCACAGATAAAATGAAGCAGCTTCCTCTTACCAAAAACAGCTACACATTTAACTTTGTTAAGATGTACACGTGGGCAACTGCATAGCAACCTTACCTTCATAAACATACTAAACCCAGTTTTCAGAAGGTCTGTGAGCCCAGAAGACATGTGCTCAATATCAACAGAGTCAGGTCGATCCGGATTATATATCTCTTCTACCACTTGCTTCAGCAATGGTTTATAAGAGGCCTGGAAAATATTAAACATTGAACGTAAGTGTATATATACAAGTGATTTCACAATGCACAACCCACTTGTGAAATTTACTGTGTTGGGATATGTTCATGGTCACTGTGGTAACTGCTAAAAAAAAGGGGAGGAAAATGGAGTGGAAGCTGCCTAAAACTTGCTCACTGGAGCAGATACTGTCTTGCTTGCATCAATATGTTGTCTGGAGACAGAGACAGGGCACACACACAGATATCTTTCATACTGCTTTTGCGACCCGAGACAAACCAATTCTGCTTTATTTCGCTACTAATGTTGGGGAAACATTTTCAGCCTCTGCCTAGTTGATGGCTCAAACTGGACTATCGAGCCTCTGCATTGATTCCCAATGGTTGGCTCCACAAAGCACTCAGCTTCTTGGAAAATAAATACAAGCACTCAGCTTCTTGGAAAATAAAAACCCAACAATCTGAACTTTAACTAAATTTGAAGATGAGGGGAGGAAAATGTACAGAATCCCAGGGAGTTCTTGCCTCTGCCTGGTATATTTGCTTTTGCCCAAAAACCCAAAACAAAACACCTCGTCATGAGAAATAACATTGGTTCACTAGGTCCTAGCCTTGTGCAATTTTGGAGCTGCTTTTTTGTACTGATATGATCGGGGATCAATCATGAATGGACTGAAGTCTCCCAACAGTAATGATTACCATTACCCTCTCTCAACACACACTGGCTGGGATGGGCAGCAGCGGTGTTCCGATGGCTAACTAATCATGCATTAAACACAAGCATGTAAAAAGGATGCATAGTTGAATTCTCTCACCTACTGCTGCTGGGCACACAGAGCTCCTAAATGCAAGAGTGGGTGCAGACTGTGTAGGACAGCGGTTCTCAACCTGTGGGTCCCCAGATGTTGTTGGACTACAACTCCCATCATCCCTGAGCTCTGGCCTTGCTAGCGAGGGGTGATGGGAGTTGTAGTTCAACAACATCTGGGGACCCACAGGTTGAGAAAGGCTGGTGTAGGAGCTCTAAGCGCATATCACATGAGGGACCTTTCCCCACACTAGTTAGACATGCAGCCAGCCAGGTAATGGTCTCCACGTCCAATGGTGGTGGTGGGGCTCTGCTCTCTCTCCGTCGATGTATTGGGGGTGTATGTTTGAACATCCTTGCCATTTGCCCCTTCCAGGAGGAAGAATGCTCTCAGCACTAAGTGAAAGGATGCAGCATAGACACCATGGGTAAACACAGCGACATCTGGATTGCCCTCTTATTTAGCACTGAAAGGGACAGTACAGTGGTACTTCGGGTTACAGATGCTTCAGGTTACATACGCTTCAGGTTACAGACTCCGCTAACCCAGAAATATTACCTTAGGTTAAGAACTTTGCTTCAGGATGAGAACAGAAATCGTGCTCCGGCGGCGTGGCAGCAGCAGGAGGCCCCATTAGCTAAAGTGGTACCCCAGGTTAAGAACAGTTTCAGGTTAAGAACGGACCTCCAGAACAAATTAAGTACTTAACCTGAGGTACCACTGTCTCCAGCTAGAAGGGAAGCCTGAGAAGGTGCTGCCTTTTGTCTGAACAAAATTGCTCCCAGGTTTCCCACCTAGCTCTCCAGTTTCTTCTCCCCCATCATGAAATGAGAGATCCTATGTTCCAGAGGGTGAATTGCAGCAAAGGATAGGATATCTAGACTAATGAAGAGTCTGGGTTTATCTGGCTTGCTGTATATACTAAACACATTACTGAGAGTCTATCACTTCAGCATTTTGAAAATTGCTTTGGAAGGCTGTATTCGAAACATTGCAAGCACATCATTTGGAATACCAGCATCAAAACTGAAGTTTTGATATAGAGCTGGTGAGGGACAGCATATTGACTATTTGAACATGTATTTTGCTGGTTCTTCAGGTCCCTGGATCCAACCGTAATGCAAATAAAATAAAGTAGGCACTTTAAACCAGAGGAATGCTTTTAGTGAAAGCTTACTGTATACAGTTTATAAAGTTTTCTACATTTATACAATTACTGCAGATCTAAAGCAGTAACAACCAACTAATATAATTTCAGTAGCCAGTATTACAATCTACAAAACTGAATTAATGTGTTCCATTTATGGCAGCCAATGTTTCCTTACTGAGCTATTCCAAGAATGTCAATCTCTAGTTTTCTTAGAAAACACATGTAGGAGTCATGCTGCAGAAATGATAAACAGAAGTGCCACTTACCTTAGACAGAAAAAAAGAAAAACAAATGAGAAACTAACTACTTAAACTGAACAACCTGGGAAAGAAAAGATTTTCTAAAACATTATAGCCATTAAAGACACATTTTTGTGTCCAGCAGTTTGCAATGTCAAATACAGATCTTTTTCTTCCATGCAGCCACTAAGAAAATGTAGATGAGCCACTCAAAGCATCCTCCAACACACATTTACATTTTAACTGAGCCAAGAAAGATGCAGCAGACTTTAGCTGTGTGTTATATGACTGGCTGGGACTCAAAAACATAAAAAGCGGCTTGTTGAACACACACAATTATTCCCTTGGGAAAGAGAAACAAATTCATTCAAAATGATATGCTTAAAAGGGAAAGGATGTCAAAACAGGAAATATGTGATTTTTTAATATATATTTAAAAAATCACTTAAGCTTTGATTCAAAGCACACTTATTGGAAATAAGTTCCACTGAAATAAGCAGAACGTCTCTGTATTTAGGTTGGATCCAGATTTGGTTAATTATACTTTAGTCATGGCTAATATAAGTCCCATTGAATTCAATGGGTCTATTCCAAGTAAGACTAATGAAATCTGGATTCAATCCATTGTAGTTACTGATTATCCGGGGGGGGGGGCAGCTGGACCCACTCTGGCCAAGGACTTGGGGATGTGTGATGGCATGATAGCCAGTATGGTTTCACTCCCTCTATGATCTTGGCTGTGTGGAAGGGAAGGTATAACCAGATGAGGAAAAATGTTCTTTCTTATTGGGGCGGGGGCAGGAATCCTCTCTTGCACTCTTCGTACTTCTAGTTTAAGACTACAGCAGCTAAAAAGAATCAATCAGTGCTTAACAATGGTACATCAGGGACATGATGCTATCTGAAATTAAGGGCTGAGAAATAGGAACACGGTGACAAATTGTCTAGAAAACATCAACAAAGGTGCTACCAAAAAGCACAGAGCAAAAGCTTCAGTAACTGGTTGTTCCAAACTCTGATAACTTACATAATATATATTTTTTTTGGGGGGGGGGTTAACTGTTTCATGCACAGAAAATGTATCAATAAAAAGATGCTATAGTTTGATTTCTATTCTTTTTAAGCTGGATACATTTAGTGGTTACTGCTAAATGGATGACTATTCTATAGAGTAGAGTAGAGGACCCCTGGATGGTTAAGTCCAGTCAAAGGCAACTATGGGGTTGTAATGCTCATCTCACCGCAGTGGTACCTATTCATCTACTTGCACTGGTGTGCTTTCAAACTGCTGGGTTGGCAGGAGCTGGGACACAGCAATGGGAGCTCACCCTGTTGCGGGGATTCAAACCACTGACCTTCTGATCGGCAAGCCCAGGGGCCCAGTGGTTTAAACCACAGTGCCACCCGTGTCCCTTTCTGTTTTATAGAGCAGGTGGCCTTCATGGGTACATGTAAGCTCCCTGCAACTGGGGAGGCTAGCACAGAAACAACATTAGATGGATGGCAATGTTATAGCTGCTGTGGTTCAGTAGATATCCTTTCAATTAAGCAATGACTATTAAGAACATTGGAAGGGAAAGACAATTCTACAAACCCACTTGTAGATTAGTAGAATACATTCTGCATTAAACAACCACAAAATCAGTCACATTTTGCTACAGGTAGTTTTGCCAACGCTCCAAACCAGGGCTTCTTAAACTTGGGTCTCCAGCTGTTTTTGGGTTGCAACTCCCATAACCCCTAGCCAGCAGAACTAGGTGGTCAGGGATGATGGGATATGTAGTTCAAAAACAGCTGGAGACCCAAGTTTGGGAAACACTGCTATAAAGTAATACAGAGTAACACATGGATTTTTTTTAAAAAAAGACACAGCAACTTGCCTGTTGAATTTGGCTTCCTGGAACATGTACGGAATTAAACTGCTTCATGTAAGCCCGAGCTCTTGCAACATCTCTGAGAGTCATAAAGATCTCATTCACTGCAGCTGTGGCCTTTTGAAATGTCAGATCAAGTGGAGACTCACAGCCTGGAACAACATGGAAAAAATATTTGCTAGGTGAGGCCATTTTTTTTTAACCAACACAAATGAAAGTAGTGGGGGAAGGGGTTCTGCATTCTCCAGATGGTAGTTTAACAAATCCCCCCAGATTTAAGAAGGCAAGCAACAGTTTGAACCTTGCATATGGCAACATTGGACAAGTCTTGTTAAGCTCTCAACTATGATGCTGAAAATAGAAATATCAGTTTCTCCACCTAGAAAGTTTTAAGAAAGTGAGTGGGGCTGAGAGACTTCAGAGAAGTGTGACAAGCCCAAGGTCACCCAGCAGCTGCATGTCGAAGAGCGGGGAATCAAACCTGGTTCACCAGATTATGAGTCTACCGCTCTTAACCACTACACCACACTGGCTGTCATAAAAACAAACAAACAAACAAACAAACAAACAAACAAACAGTCTAACTTTCAACAAATGCCCATTTAAGTCTCTTTTGTTCCTGTTTGTCTACATATATAACACACAGGTTTGACACAAAGCATTCCAGAGGTTTTCCTTCTACTAATGTATTACAATGTATTTTGCTTGCTTCTTTAAAACTGTTTGCAGAGGACGTCCATGGACAATGAGATGAAATCAATGATAGGCGATATCTATCTGCCTTCCACTGATCTTGCTAACATTTCAGTACAAATATGAAACAGCTGTGAAATTCATGCTCACAAGGAAGCTTCATAAAGTATTCCCCCTTTGTTTCTACGCTATGGTTACTCCGTCTAAAATTAAATTTTAATCTTTGCATAGCAACATAGCAGAGTGGTTTTGTATTCTCAGTGAACTGACTTGAAGCTCATTTCACTTAAGAGACAGTTTTGAAAAGGCAACACAGTTTCCAGGATTACAAATGGTTGTTACAACAACTCTGAGGTTATTCTCTGCTAACAATAAACATGTTGTAGCAAGTTTATAGATTCAATTGCATCAAGGAGTAGGACTATTGGACTTAAACAAAACTGTAACATCACTGTGTTTGGGGGCTGTTGGCAAATATTTCTAAAATATTAGAAATTGCATCTCTAATATTTTAAAACCACCACCATCAATTATACCTGCTACCCACTGTTCAACCACATGGTCCCAGGGTGGGTTACATCTTCAAATGATAATATAATACAATAAAACACCCCCACTCCCAAAATATCCTGGTTGTTTGATAGTAACGACAACTGCAGTAATAATAATAAACGTGGTTGATTTGTTCTAAGCCGGGATGAAAAGGGTCCCAGTAACACTATGGCTGATACAATTGTCATGAATGTGTTTGCTGTTATTAAAAGATAAAGCTTTAAAAATGACTCACACTTTCTCTACAGATATGAAAGGTTAGGTTATTTAAGTTTCTTGAAGTCGTGTAACAAAAAACACTGAAGTAATTAATAAAAATACGTACACATATTAAAAGCATAGTCAAAATAAGGTCTCACTGTTTAAGGATGGAACAGTATTTTGTACATTTTGTGCACCAAATAACCCAACTTCAGGTTAGAAGACTATTGTTTTTAATGTGCAGCTGACAATAATGCACAATGTGTTCCTGCACAGTGTGTTCCTGGATTGAAAACACGCATGGACATACACATAAATATAACTCAGATGTAAAATCCAGTCCTGTTGGTTATGGACACCCTTCTTAACTTGGATCAAAAGAAAATGATAAGCAGCAGCAACTTAGAAGGAGACTGGTTTTGAAATTATTTATAGTCTGAAGTCTTCCCTACACATATTCTTATATGGTTAAAAAACGCAATTGAAGAAGGTTGCATAAAATCAAAGAGGTGACCATAGATGTAGCGGGAAGGTAAACAGCATTTCCGTGCGCTCCGGCTTCTGTCACAGTGTTACATTGCGCCAGAAGCAGTTTAGTCATGCTGGCCACATGACCTGGAAAGCTGTCTGTGGACAAACGCCGGCTCCCTCAGCCTGAAAAGCGAGATGAGCGCTTTGACTGGACTTCACTGTCCAGGGGTCCTTTACCTTTACCTACCACGAACCCCATGCAATTTAGTTCTAATCCAACTGTGCTGTTCATGAGTGCAACAATATCGGTAATCGTGATGTTGTAGCTTATGTTGACCTTTCCCTTAAATGAACTGAACAAATAGAATTCCATGAAGTTAGTAATGGCTTTCAATATAATGCACAAAAATACTATTTTAATAAACTTCTTGCATTTCCATCCAGCTTGAAAAATAAAAATCAAACCTCAGGAATAATTTCAAATTCAATTCTACTTCTAATATTGGATTTGAATTAATAAAAAGTGAGCCTTTAACAAGAAAAAAAGCCAAGGCAAAAGTTAATATTAGAAAATCTCGCGATTTTTTTTGACAGGATTAACATTTTCCTCAAACCATGGGTGGCAGCATGATTTGAAGTACACATTGCACTCAGAATGACATTCAACAGAACATCTTTAGCAGAGGGGTTTATTGAGATTTACGTAGCTTATGAATCATATAAATCATTCATCTGATAATAATTCAAACAGCTTTGCAAACCTCTCTATCTTGATTTTTCAAAAAATTTAATCAGGGCTCTGTAGGTTTTCTGGGTTGAGGAGAGTAAATATAATACAATAGTCTATCTATCTGAAACTGAGCCAGACTATTTCTCCAGCAAGGTAGTGCAAACTCAATTATGTTACCGGGTTATTTACAAAATTAATCATTTTGCTTTATGGCAGCAATTCCGAATCACAAAAAGAAAGACGGAAAAAGAGAGAAGCACATGGGCAAAAAAGGGAACACAAGATGACACAGAGTTGCACAAAACTGACATAGGTTAATTTAAATGTACAAATGTGAATCTAAAATATTTACTATAATTTAAACCAGAAATATGGTATACTTAGCCAAGGCTTCCCACTTGGCCAATGAGACAATGTTCCTGAAGACACACCCACCTGCCTGACACCTGATGTCACATGTGACACCAGGTGTGGGGCAGGTAGTTCCTTGGCTGAAGAAAGAAGCATAAAATTCCCCTGCTCATAAGTAGTGAATTTGATCCTGTTCGGTTTGGGCTTGTCGCTGGTGAGTCAGCATGGGGAGTTCAATCTTGCATGGCAGTATGTCCCCCCCCCCCTACCTGGGATATTTTTGACAGGTTGGTGGGACAACCTACCTGTCAGTCACATGACAAGTGACAGGCAGGTGGTGGTCTCACCCACTTGTCAACGTGGGCTCGCCAGTGTGGGGAAGATTTGGGTCCTACTGAAATGAATGATTCCCCCACTCCAACTTCAAAACAAATACAATTCTTCTTTCCATAGTGGGAAGACTTGACTAGGTGACGGCCTGCTCAGTCTGCTTTCCACATGTTAACTATTGATAGTTAACATCAAGGTCCTTGCTTCTTATAGTTTTTTTTATCTTGGACTAGACCACCCCTGAAATAGGGCTTCTTCGACCAGAGGGCTCTCCTGTCTTCCCCCCCCCCCCAATCTGTGAACTGTGAATCTCTATTAAGCAGACAAGAGCCGCCAGCAAAAATGTTATTGACTTATGAGCACTAAGACTGCAACTCGAAACATGTTTACTAGGCAGTAAGCCTTGCCAAACACGGAATATAGGATTCTGCTGCTGTGATTCATAAAGTGATGGAGTTGGACTCTTAAGTGTCAATAATAATAATAATAATAATAATAATAATAATAATAATAATAATAATTTATTTATAACCCACTCATCTGGCTGGGTTTCCCCATGGATTGGCAAGATTTCCATGTTATAAACCCTCTTCCTTAAGTTTTATTTCCAACCTTTCCCATCTTTCATTCAGAAAAGATTAGGCCACCTGCATTCACGATAAGAACCGAGCTACAAGACTTCTTTGAAAATAACCAATTAATTTATTGCCTTGCTCTGTCACTTTCCAAAACCTTATCATATAGCATACATGGCTCAGTTGGTAGAGTATGAGACAACAACAACAACAATTTTTTATTATTTCTATCCCACCCATCTGGCTGGGTTTCCTCAGCCACTCTGGGCAGCTTTCAACAGAATATTAAAAACAGAATAAAACTTGAAACATTAAAAACTTCCCTAAACAGGGCTGCCTTCATAGGTTGGACTCAGTGACCCTTGTGGTCCCTTCCAACTTGACAATTCTATGATTCTATTATTACAAAGCCTAAAAAGATTGGGCAGATTTTGCTCTGAATCCTCCATATCCAAGGTCTGATAGAAGTAAGGTAAAGGTAAAGGGACCCCTGACCATTAGGTGCAGTTGTGGCCGACTCTGGGGTTGCGGCGCTCATCTCGCTTTATTGGCCGAGGGAGCTGGTGTACAGCTTCCGGGTCATGTGGCCAGCATGACTAAGCTGCTTCTGGCGAACCAGAGCAGCGCACGGAAATGCCGTTTACCTTCCCGCTGGAGCGGTACCTATTCATCTACTTGCACTTTGACATGCTTTCGAACTGCTAGGTTGGCAGGAGCAGGGACTGAGCAACGGGAGCTCACCCCGTTGCGGGGATTCGAACCGCCAACCTTCTGATCGGCAAGTCCTAGGCTCTGTGGTTTAACCCAGTACTGGATATTAATATCCTCTCTGCATAGCCTTCCTCCTTTACTTGTGTGAAGGATTTTTCTGTGTTGTATTTGTTTGAAGGTGAGCTCTCCCTAACCCCACAGTTCATTCCTACTTGTGAAAGCAGGGTTAGGATGATCTTCCAGACAGAGCAACACTGTCACAGATCACTGCTAGAAAAACTTAAAAGAGCCAGCAACTTCCCTCCATCTTTCTAGCCCATCATCTCCTGCCCACTCCCCCCCGATCATACTATCCAAGGCTTTGCACTGCCATCTTGAGAGGAGGAGGAAATATTAAAATAGCATTCTGTGGGGGGAAATGTTGCCATTTGCAGCGCCAACTTGTTTCTAACACTCAACACATTTTCATTAGCAGGCTGTAAAACTTTCAGGCTGCCCAGGACTTTAGCAATCCACAGAACAATTTATCAGAATAGAA